ATATTGATATTATTGATTGATTATTATTGTACACAAACGACTACAAAAAATAAATTACGTTGTCTTTTTATTAGAAAGCGTTGACCAGTCGCTTACAAAGAAACGTCGGTAATAAAACTTGAAAAAATTACTGACTATTTATGAAGGAACTTCATCTATTTATCTTGTATTTATCGATGATACGCCCTTAATTTTCTTCAATGCTGCGAAAGTTCCTAGAATTTAACAATGGAAGATAAGTGATCGCGTCGCTTTCAGCTCTCTCTTAATTTTTTTTTAGCCACGCTGTCTGTTTCTGCCTAGTTATTTGAGAGCCAACATGGGCACCGCGAAATTCTGGAATAAAAATATACATATAGTTTTATAGTATATATAGTAGAGTATAGTATATACACAAAAATACATGGCATTCATGAGTTATACATATACATATAGTTTTTTGTATAATAAAATATAAAATATATTTTATATTTTCATTTTATTTATATATTTATATTTTATATTTATTTAAACATAAAATATTTTATGCATAAAATATGCATAAAAATATACATATACTTTTAATTTCTATCACAAAAATAAATGACATTCTTGAATAAATGACATTCTTTCTGCCGAAATTTCTCATTGATTCATAATAAACTTATGTACAAATCTTACGCCAATTTTAGCATAAAAAAGGTTTATTACAATTTCAAATGCTTTTGTTCAAGTAAAGTTTAAATAATTGAAAAATTATAATTATTATTTTCGATCTTAATGAAATTCAACATTTAAATTATTAGATGTAATTTTAAACATTGTGCAGGCTTATCCAATCATGTAATAAACGCAATAATTTTTTTTTTTCATTCTGGATGCGCACCGAAAAAATAACTTCTAAAGAAAGTTTAAACAACACAATTTAAACGAAAATGACTTCCCAAAAACCCTATTCTTCATGAATAGGGTTTTTGCAACGAATTCTTCGCAAGATAAATTGTCCAAGTACTCAACGAATTATTAACTAATTTTACAGGTTAAATTACGCCTGAGTTGATTCGGTGCCATGAAAGTGAAACAATGAAATTGAAGCTGATTATTATTTCACGAATATTAAATATTAGCAGGAATTAGTCCGGCGATTACACGGGCTTCAAATTTTCTGCAATATTGGAATCCTGTTATCCAAAATCCCAGCATTCCTTTAATTCCTAATTCTATTAATAATAATAAAAAATTATGTTCTTATGTGATAAAAAAGATTTCAAAACTCGTATTTTACATAGAAGATAGGTCGATCACTTTACTTTCGCTTCAAAATATGAAAGGAACACATTTCGTCCCCTTTCCAACTGAATTTTTATGTGCTAGTTGCGAAAACTAATTTATATATTTCATTTAATCCTTTCTTCATTTTCCATCAATCCTTTCCTATTCTCCCACGAGGAATGCAATCTCAGGTAGTGACAATATCCCGACACAAGTATCGTGGACCCCCATAAATAACCCATTTACACCCCACATAAATAACTCCTTTGCCAGACTTCAATCACACAAACCTATCTACGCACGCACAAACTATGACAAATATGTATAAGACCGATTATGGAATATGTATAAGATCGATTAATTCTCCATTGGTTTTAAATAAGCAGTTAAATAACATCACGGTTACGGTCATTTAAAGTTCAGCTAATATAGTCACGTAGGCCCAAACTTGATCGGAACAAAAACAACGACTGAGTTTCTTCTTGCAATCGAGAAAGTCCCCAGAAACGGATCACTCTCCGCCACCTAGGGCCGGGTAGAGAACTTTTGGGGAAAAACTCGAACCTTTTTAGGGAAAAACTTGAACTTTTTTAGGGAAAAACTTGGAGTCCGGGTTTTTCATGACGCGAGCGACGTGCATTAATGTATTTTGGGGACAAAATAAAATCATTGAACGATGCTTTCATAAGCCTTTTTATTTGTGAAAGTTTTCGATTTATTTGAGGCGTATGATTGTTCTTCAGTTAGTTATTCTTCTCTGATCTGAGAATTTTTTCTTCCATACAAGTGGAACAAAATATAAATATAATTTTGAAAGCAGTTAACCCTACCATTGTGTTAGAAATACTTCATATATAATAAACACAAAAGCCCTGGTAACAAATAGACATAAATAATACACCCTTTTCATAGCGATCGCGACTATGGATAAGAGAATGAATGACGTTAACGTTAGAATTATATTACGATGGCTTCAAGTCCAGTGATTCTTGAAAAATATTTAAAATAATAAAAACCTCATTTTTTGTTTAACCCTTTCATTTTGATCTTAACCTTTTAATCTTTCTTTCACTTTCATTCATTTAAATTGATTAATAAGGTCAACCAAGATAGTCAGCGGGTCACACTTTCCTAAGGAATGACCTGATATATCCTGACCTTCAACAGTCAGGGACAAAAAAACGGAAGCATCCAGTCAGCGGCTTTCAAATGTTTCAGGTCAGGGGTAGATGCGGAGGGTTTAGCGCAAAAAATGCATTTAGTATGCGTTGTTTGAATAAAAAAAACATATATTTCATGTCAACATGTAATTAGCGTCGCGAAAATGGCGCGAAAATGGTATATTTATGTTTTTTTTACTGTTACTAAAGGTTTTTCACAGGAAGAATGACAAACATCTTTTGAGAGACACACATATTTCATGTCAACATGTAATTAGCGTCGCGAAAATGGAATATTTATGTTTTTTTACTGTTATTAAAGGTTTTTAACAGGAAGAATGGCAAACATCTTTTGAGAGACACACATATTTCATGTCAACATGTAATTAGCGTCGCGAAAATGGAATATTTATGTTTTTTTTTACTGTTATTAAAGGTTTTTCACAGGAAGAATGGCAAACATCTTTTGAGAGACACACATATTTCATGTCAACATGTAATTAGCATCGCGATAATGGAATATTTATGTTTTTTTACTGTTATTAAAGGTTTTTAACAGGAAGAATGACAAACATCTTTTGAGAGACACACATATTTCGTGTTAACATGTAATTAGCGTCGCGATAATTGAATATTTATGCTTTTTTTCTGTTATTAAAGGTTTTTCACGGGAAGAATGACAAACATCTTTTGAAAGACACACATATTTCGTGTTAACATGTAATTAGCGTCGCGAAAATACAATATTTATGCTTTTTTACTGTTATTAAAGGTTTTTACAGGAAGAATGGCAAACATCTTTTGAGGAGCGCTTGAACGGATTTTTTTTTAATTCTTCTGGTAATCAAACTATTAAAATAGGGGAGTGCTCTACAACGTTAGTGCCTTCGATTAGATTACAAAGCCGCTAATTTAATACAGGTTTTGGAATATCTACGTTTCATCACATCGCAATTTCAAGATTTAAAGGCATTGGAACTGTTAAGATGGCAGTAAAAAATGTTTTTAGACCGGCCAGTTCTAAAAACATGGAATTTTAAATTAATAATAAATAAATTAATTAATTAATAATAAATAAATAAATAAATTAATCTTCAGTTAATCCGTTGGCTAATCTGTCAAACTTGCCATAGATAAGAACCTCATTTTCAGTCCCAAAAATAACTTCTGGTGAAATTTATCATATTGTATTTTTTCTTCTACGTATAGCGAGTACAATCACTTCTGCAAGAATGCTATGTTTATATATGATTACAATCAATATTTGCTAGTAATAAGATTTATTCAGGTGTCTTCATGCGATACCCATGTCATTACGCTGAAAATTTTTACGATGAAAATCCAACTAAGCTTGTTCGACTCGAAACATACATTAATTAGTATTTCATCCTAGTTTTTTATCATTCACAAGAAAACACAAGTGAGCGCGCAACTATGCGAGGTCTTTAAAAAGTTCTGGTACTACCATTCCACTCTCTAGCATTTGAAATGTTCAGATAATGGTTGCCACGCTTCAAACAAGTTTCGATAGATAAGAAAATAAGAAATAAAATGGAAGAGAAAAATAGCCAGTCTACAATCCTACGAAAAATGGTTCATTTTTCGTAGGATTTCTCCTGATTCATATCGTGGATTTCGTGTTTCAGATTAGAATCATCCAATTATCTTCACCGCAAAATTGGAGGTAACTAATTTTCATTGTTATTCATCGAGTATAAATAGAAAACTCGTAATTTAAATGACATTATTTAGAAACAATGAAGATCGAGTCAAGTCTCGTAGACAAGCTATCACACTAAGGTGCCTTGGAGACTCATCCAGTTTTTTATGTGATAAAAAGTAGTCTGCCGCAGCCCGGGTGATCAGGTAAAACTTTCACTGAAATTTACGGGTGTCTGGCAGGAGAAGAGTCTCTCGTGGTAATGCCAATACTAGACAGAAATCGGAGTCATAGAATCTAAAATTCTTCATGACCGCCGAGAACTTTATCGGGAACTAAGGAGAGATAAATTATGGAATATTTTGTATCGAGAATAGGAATTTTATAAAAAAAAATCCTCATGTGCGTAAAAAAATTGATAAAACTTTATGCTTAACGTGCCGGGTTAATAGATTATATACACTTGAACGTTCTTCCATTGTCAAAATAAGACAACTCAGTATCTAGTCATTGTTAATTTATCTTAACTGTTAAATTAACTCAGAATCTAATCATTGTTTAATTTATTTCAATAACTACTGTTAAATTTGTCAACAGGATGGTTCACGCGTCCCCACCACTGCTAATCATCGTGCTGCTTGCGGCAACCGCCTTGGCTGAGTCAACACCGTTCTTCTTCGGGGTACGTACGGGGATAGATCACAAATACCACTCCGTATAGCCATTAATTTGAGATATATTATGGAATATTAAACCTTTGCTTCACAAATGTGTTTCAGACATCCAAACTTTTTTGAAATATTGAACCTTTGTTTAATAAAATATGTTTCAGACATCCAGTTCAAGAAATTCGGACAACAGCAAAGAGTCAAGTCGGTTCTCTTCCCTGAGCTTCGACGACGATGACAGCGATGAGGTGCCAGGTAATGCAACAGACTTGGGCCATCATGCATTCCATTCCCAATCTTTGCAAGCTTCCGTGTTAAACTCTAATGATAATAATACTGAAAATTCTGTTATAGTTATCGGCAAACCCATTGTTCCTGTTGTTTCTGAGAAGACATTGAAGGTTGTGACATCGGCTAGCGGTCCTGACGATAAGACGGATTTAAATAAGAGCAGTGAAGATTTTACAAGAACAATAATTGGCGACGAACGATCGACGAAACGTACACGAACGAACAACCTAGGTCGACTTGCGCTGCTACGTCAGGGCAAAGAGACGTTAAAGCCAGCGTTCATCGAAAAAAATTCCCGCGAAGATGATATAAATTTAAGTGAATTCGATAAATTGGAAGAAGTTAAGGGGAACACGAGTGACCAAACTGACTCCACCGTTTCCAAAGAAAAGAATGGCAGCCAAAATTCTAGAGAAATTGGAGGTTCTCTCGTCCGGCTTCGCGACTTTGTCCCTCGTTTCCCACCAGAACTGCCAGTAAAAATCAGTGTTTCTCGTACAAGTTCAGTTAGTTCGGTGGTTGGTAAAGCATCACGAAATCTTTCACAAAAATCAAATGCGAGCCAAAATTCGGATGGAGCTGATGGTGCGAAGAAAGTCCTAACAGCTCCGTTCAAACTGACATCCAGCATAAAGGACTCAAAAAACAATGAGTCTGAGGGAAAAGATAAACCAATTAAAGCTGTTAAACAAAATAAAATTAACACATCACGAGGTCGTCGAGTTCGACCTGTTGGGTTTTCTTTGAGGAAAAGAGTGGAAGAAATGCAAAAAACAGCACGTGCTACTGTGAAAGGCCATAGTAAGTTAGAAGAAAGTTTCAAATCTGAAGTAGAAGGCAATCATTCATTTGAATCTCATGAAAAAAATGGCGGAGAGAAAGACAGTGTCGAGTCAAGTCATGATGTGGACGATATCAAAGAAAGCATCGAAGATCACAATGACGAGAGAAAATTGGAATTCATTTTCAAATCTGAAGCAGAAGTCAAACATTCATTTGAATCCCGTGAAAAAAATAGTCGAGAAGTGGACAGCATTGAGAGAAATCGTGACGATAAAGTTGATGTTGACGACATTTTTCATGTTCACGGCGACGACAACGACTCCGGAGCCAGTGACGAAGAAATTCATATTGTTCAACATTTCACTCCGCCATCAAACGCCGTGCTGCTCGACAACGCAGTATCACATGCCACTATACACAAAGACGTTGTTCGACTGGAAGACCACCACGACTCAGTAGAGCACAGCAAAGAAATAGTGTTCCCAGTTCTTCCAAAAATTGTCCTCCCGGTCCCAACTCCAAGCCCAGTGGACTCCATAGAAATCGATGATAAATCTGATAAAAATTCTGATGAAACCCTCATCACAGTTAGTTTACCCCATGAAATTGAACCCGTCTTTCCAACTGAAACATTGCCCATAAAAAAACTTCCTCAGGACACTCACAACGGTCCACAGAAATCCAAAGTTTCAATATTCGATCTGACAAAACCCTCCGAAAGTGAACACATTCCATCATTGTCAGGGCAAACAGTCACTCACTTTCCAGAAACACAGCTTCTCTCTTCTCGTCTGCCTTCAGACTCCGTTGAAATTGATAACGACTCTGATGAAACAGTGATAGAAGTTTTGCCTGCGACACGTCTGTCAGAGACAAATGTTAAGTATAGTGTTCAACGACCGTCGTCAAAACATACTGGTCCACCAAGAACAACAGCAATTCTAAAGGTCGATTCGAATTCGCATAAATTCAAGTCTTCCAAAAGTTTAGAAAAATTTGATTCTGACGAAAATCACCAATTGATTCGCTTAACAAAAGCGAACCCAGTGAACACACTTACCTCTCTTAAACTTAAATTATCGTCTGTTACCCACTCGCCCCAGGCTCCAAAGTATTTACCTACAAGAAAGCCCACTACTACATCCCAACATAATTCTCCTCTACAAGGAAGTTCTGTCACGACAAACACGAATGCTTCGTCTACGCCGCTTCAACCTTTCTTACCCACATTGACTCATGAAATTCCAACTCTTAATCAATATTTAGCTCCTCTCCTAGTTAAACATACGCTAAATCAGCCGGTACCAATTAGGGACACTCAGGATGCAAAAGAAATTGGAAAGGAGTTACCAAAATTCCAAATACGACCACGCCAGAAGGCAGCTCCACACGTGTCGCAAGGAAAGCAGAAGTTGGTATCACCTGTTGCACCGAACAATGCAAACGGAAAAGATTCATCTAATAATCCTGTGAAATTTATTGCTTCAGGACCATCAAAAAATATTGGTTCTTTCAGAACCACTGTAACGCAAAAGCTAGAATCTAATAGGCAGCCTTCGAATCGTTCGCCTGCATTTCATGTTATTAAATCTCATAGAAGCATCGAATCATTTGATTCAGATGAAATCAAACTCAGTTCTGGCGAAGAGCTCCATTTCATTCGTTCACAGAACCCAATTCCAGTAAATACAATAACCAATTTAAACTTCAAACCAGCGTCAGGTCATCACTCCTCACAAGTTCAAAACGGAAAGGACTCATTTAACCCGTCTAATACATTTTTTGTGTCATTACCATCAATAAATATTGGTTCTTCAAAAACCACTGTAACTCAAAAGCTAGAGACTAAAAAGTCACCTTTGAATCAATCACCACCATCGTTGATATTCAACTCTCACAAAAGCATCGCATCCTTTGGTTCTGATGAAATCGAATTCAATTCTGACGAAGAACACCACTTTATTCGATCTAAGGTACCAACCCCAGTGAACACACCACCTACTCTTAAACACAAAGCAGTGTCTGATCACCACTCGCCCCAGGCTTCTCAGTACTTGTCTGCTACAAAGCACACTACGCCATTCACTCGTCATTCATTTTCACGGGGAAATTCTAAGCCCACAACAAATACGTTTACTTCATCTCCAATCCATCCTTTGCTGCAGCCACAATCTGTCACCACGTCTCAAACAATTCCTACTCTTAACCAATATTCAGCTCATCTTTCGGCTAAACATGGATTTCGTCAGCCTGCATCAATTAATTTTGGCCAAAGTGCAAGAGAAATAGTAAGGAATCAACCAAGTCACAGCATAAGACAACACCATCAAACAGCCCTTCCAAAAGTGGTCTCGGGTTCATCTCCTTACGTGTCACAAAAACAACAGTTGACTTCAACTGTTTCACGAAATCCTGCTAACGGGATCGTTCTTTTGAATCCTCAACAACCTCTAAGATACGGAGGAGCAGCTCCGGTAAGTATCCATCAGCCGGGTAATGCATTCAACTCCATACTGCTGACTCCTCACAATAGGGGTATTAACCCACAACTTCACGGACGAAATTACTTGACGGGAGTTTTCGAACTTCAACAGACGAAACTTCCGCAACAGACTCACTCCCTTACGACAAACGCCAGACGACAACCATTCAGAGGACCGTTTAACAAGCTCACACACCTATACTCACCCAATGCTTCTTTACGCGGACCTTCAGGTTTCGTGAATACAGGTTCACTTCAACCAGCCAGAGTTTCAGTTCAGCAGAAGAGTTTCCCAGCTGCCGTTGATGTGGTCTCGAACTACGAAGCTCCGGTGCAGCCACAACCGAGCTATCAGGCACCCGTACAACCATCCTACCAGGCACCACAACCAAGCTACGAAGCACCAGCAGTGTGCGAGCCTGTTGTTCAATACTCCGTGGTGACCCATGACATTTTCGTGCCAACAACCCTCGAGGTCTACCGCACCAAGTATCTGCCCACGACCCAGTACAACCAGATCATCGAGACGAAATATTACGCCCAGCCTCAAGTAAACGTTGTCACCGTCACTAAAGTTCCCGAGCCACAGTTCATAACGAAGACTCAGGTGAGTGCAAACTAACTCTAATAACAATAGAGCTCATAACTCCTACCAGCAAAGGTTGTCTTTACTGGAAATTTCTTTATCTCGTGCATGATTTTTGAGAATTTTGACCAGAATTAGTGTTGCAATTGTTTACGCTAGCCCAGCTTTTTATAAGGGAAAATATTGCCTCAATGAAAATTATGTACTATCAAAGTTACTTTTGGTACTACATCAATTCTCTGACACTTTATGACTTCCATCTATATCTTTGTATACAGATCGTAACTCTATTTACCATACCTCTAGATACAATAGATTCCCGTATCTGAGGAAAAAGTGTTTGAAGATACCGTTTTTCTTTCACAGGTGGTGACCAACCCAGTCTACGTGGCGCAGACCAACTACGAGACCATCACCAAGTATCTGACGGCGTCACAAGTTAACCAAGTCACCGACACGCGTGTGCTCTACCAGACGCGCTACAACACCGTCACCGCTACCGATATCCAGTACAGAACTCAGATCCTAACCCAATACCAAACACAGGTAAGCTTTAATGGTGCAATACGGTTTATAAAATTATGTAAATTTACCAAGACCCAAGAGTGGTTATTGATAACAAGGGCCTAAAAATAAAAATAAATTCAGAAACTTTTATTGCAATGTTTAAAAACGGACCTAGTCAAGAATCGAGAACCATAATAAATTACCCCGAATAGACAAAAGAAATTAAAAACTAAATATGTGAATGAATGAAATCTAATAACCTTGTTCTCCTCAAACTACGCAAAGTTAATCCAATCTTCATCTTACAGACCCAGTACCAAACTCAGTACCAGACCCAGACGGAGGTCAGGTACCAAACCCAGACCGAGTACCAGCCTCAGTACCTAACTTCAACCGTTTCAGTCCAGGTGCCGGTATACAACACGGTAACCGAGACCAAGGTAAAGAAGCTGCTGCTCACACAAACCGTACCAGTTTACCACACCAGAATTGAAACTCAAGCGCACTACGTCACGCAGACGGTCACGTCACAGTATCCCTTATACACGACCGTGGTAACAACCGTGTTCCAACCCCAGTACGTAACAGTTACTGTCACACAGCCGTGCAGCCAAGCGTACGGTTACTATTAGTATCATTTAGTGACTTCAAAGACACCAGGATATTTTTTAATGTAGTTTTTGGTGATAAAACCATCAATTGAATTTCATCGAAATATTCACCTTATTTTGTTTGGCTCTTTAGCTCGACGCACAATATCCAGTATATTTCCGAACGATGAAGTCATCATATGCAGGCATAGCTTATCTATTGCCACCCAATTATATTCCGGGGTCAAAAATAAATCATAATCACCTATTGAAGAATACGTGATATAAGTCGTACGAATCGAGTAAAATATAGTAGAATGTCTTCAATCAAAACAGGAGATAAATATAAATGTTTAACTCATGTTTTTGTTTGCTATCTGGTATTTAGCCGTTTATGTTAATGATAAGTACAAAAATTTCTACTCATTTCCTGACCCAACCGTACTCACTAATATATTATTAAACAGCAATCACAAATATATTTTTGAGATCAAACCAGATTTTTTCGTCGACCCATCCTTCAAAACTGACTTTAAATATAAAAGTTGGGAAATTGCATCGGACGATAAATTCCTAACTTAACCTGAACAATAACTAATTTTTTGCATAATTTTGAATACTTGTATCTTCAATCAAAATACTGAAAACTTATTTCCGTAAGTACATCACAGAAAAAAGTTTTTTAGATGCGCTGAAAAAATGTGCACCTCTAAACTTACAGCAACCTTACCGAGACGAGTAAGTCAAACGAAGCTCAACGAGGATACTCAATTCCACCAGTGAACGTTAGGCGGGCAGAAGAGTAAAAAAAAAGTTCATAGATAAGGCGGCCACCGCAAATAAAAACGAAATGAAGCTCCCCTGCTCAAAAGCAAGCAGTGGCAAAATCAATCGCAGAATTTAAATATTAATAAAAAATCAATCGTAGCGCGAAGTACCCAGCAGCAAATGAATAATTATTCTGTCAAATCACAGTTCAGCAGGATGAAGGAAATTCGAACGCATGAATTTATATGGCTTCCCTACCAGCAACATCGTTGAACCAAATTCAAGAAATACTTTTACAAAACAACAGGCACATCGCAATACTTTGAATCAGCTGGGAGTTCAACGTACATTTTTTCAACCAAGTCAAGTTGAGCAGAACCAACCAAGTAAAAAAATGCGTTACTGAGCGTTAAATGGAGCATAGAAGGTACCTACATATTCACCAGCAAAAGTGTGGAACACTCTAATGTCGATACGGATGTTAGAATAGAAGTCACAATCATTTTACGTAAATCTCTCGGTATTAAAGTTGCAGAAGTATTCAGACAAGTCCCTTAAAGGCGATCAGCGTTAACTATTGCGATACACAGTGCAAGTGGCCATCAACAAATCCAGGAAAATCACAACTAGTTAATACTCAACCATATAGACATTTATTTCTTCTTGGCATATACAGCGGCATTAGCTTTAATGTGATGAGTCCTAAAGTACTCAGGAGCGACTTCATAGAGCCATTCAGGTGCGACCCATGACACGCAGTGCATGTAGGAGTTGGCGGTGTGAATGACCTCGTTGTAGAGTACGTATGAGGAGTGGCTGTTGAAGAGCACGCTAGAAGGATGGATTTGGGCTTGGTCGTGGTGAGCCAATGTCAGGTACTTGCGGTCAGGCTGGAGCTCTGCCACGTTCATGAACATGCCAGTCAGCAAACACCTGTCAACATAAGAGTACGTTGTAGCTTCACGATTGAATTGTATAACATCATCTTGCATTACAAGAATACATTAGAATATCACAACTCGGATCATAAGGGTATGTTAAAGCACAAGATTTGACCTTTCTTGATTACATAAGAGCATCACAGATATGATAAAAAAAATCTTGTTTCATAACATGCGTACAGGAAGGAACAGCATGAACACAAATATCGTTTCGAGTTAAAATATAGGTAGTAAATAATATACATACCGTATGGTAGATGTTTGAGAAAAAAATCAGCTTAACCATTCCGGAGCAAGCATTTCAGTAAGTAATTGCAATACAGCGACCACAAATAATAAAAAATAAACTTAACATGAGTGAAGAGTGTAATGTAGAAAAACTATACTTCTAGAACTACCAAGATCATTAAACAGCTCCTAAAAGTTAACATTCGAGTGAAGTAAAGGCAGCAATCTAAGCCACGCCCTGACACTTGTTTGAACATGTTGCTATACAAGTTAGTTAGTTAGTTTAGTGACCCTATGATTACTAGCGCTTCAGCTGCTAAGCTATCTCGCGCCGAATGTCACGTTGGGCATTATGGGCTAAGAACATATTGCATCATATATATTCAGCGTTGACCAGATCACATACAGTCGAACATGTTTAATGCTCTCAGATACTCTACGAGGCGGTTGTTGCTATACAAAATATCGATCCATCGTCAATAACCTAAGTATGAAAAGGAATATTGTATTGACCGTCTGATGTCGTCCATGTTGTCGCTGGACGAGAGCATCTCCAGCCCAGCCTTGACACAGAGTTCTGACAGCTGCTTCCTAATGGACGTGATGTACACAAGGTTGCGGTAGTTCAGGAAGTTCTCATGACACCAAGCCTGCACAAAATAAGTTCAAGTCATTAACAGAGAACAAAAATTATGATAATTGAAAGAAGGCAAACATTTGAAAAATAAACTGCGCCTCTTGGTCTGTGAATGAATTCCTCTACAACAAGTACCAACAATCTTCAGACGAGTAATTTTGGATATAAAAAAATTAAATAATAAGTCATGTGATGAGAAATGGGTGAACCGTATAAGCCACGAAAAATACAACACATGAAAGTGACTTTTCCAAAAACTGTGAATTGATCAACGTTATAGCAATCAACATCCTTATAATTTGTATTTTTCCCGTTAAAGTGACTTCAATTTTTCTCCTTATGAGATAGGAAACGAATGACTTAGTTACGTACCTAGTGACTGATAAGAAGTATTGTGGCTAGACTCCAATATTTTAAAAGCAAAGAAAATGCCAAGTAAATTCGTCATATCATGCACGAAAACGTTTTCTCTTAACATGTGACTAGTTTACTTAGCGTTTCCAATTATTGGTGATTTTGCTAGTCAAACTCACCTTATTCTGTTTGGATGCCTTGAAAGCCTGGTAAATTTTCAGCATGGTGAGATGATCGCCTTCTACAGAGGCAAGCTTCTTGTGTTTTGCAACGGCAACATGTCGCATCTTGCCAGAAGGAGTGGTAAGAACTTGCTCTCCCGACAACATTGACACAATTGATAACACCTGCACAATAAGCCAGTAAAAAAGTTTGTGCATCGTGATGTGTGCAGCTGACACTAGAAAATTATAAAATAATAGAAACAAGTTGACTTCAACAATTAACAGAAAATGAGCTAGATAATGAAATTTTACTAGCATGTTTACCTCAACTATCAAGTTTAAATCGTTTTCAGAGACAGGATTTTCATAATGTGGCACATGGAACTTAACTGCAAGTTCCTAATGTAGCTAAGGGAGTCTGAGGAACAATATTCTTCAGCCTAAGCAAAGATACCGATACTCAAAATGAGATACACGATAATGATAATCACGGGGCAACAATAAATTGTTAAAACGTTTTATGACGATCATTAGGACCCCAGTAACCAAATTCAGTCAGAAGACATTTAAATAAAAAAATACTTGAAGCTTGATGTTGAGAAAAACTTGGAAGCATAAAGCTCACTAGCCTATACAAATTAATCTATATATACTGAACACATTGTTCCCACAAGTTAAGCAAGCTGACAAATAGGCAACTCACCTCATGTGTGCACTTGTACTTGGGTCCCATGAGGAGAATTTTTGAATAACGAGGATCGATGGGGAATGATGCCATCTTTCTGCCATCTTCAGTGAGTTGAAGTTCCCCAGAAGGCAGTTTCTTCACCGCCTCTAGCAGAAGCAGCTGCTCAATTGCCTTTAACAATGAGTCTTGACGTGGTCGGTCCATAAAATCAAATGACATTACATCAGTAACTCCAACTGACAACAACTGAAGAACAACAGTAGATAAGTTTGATCTATGAATTTCAGGAGACGGCATCATCGTCATTTTCTCAAACTGAGCTTCAGTGTAAGTGTGATAGCAAGTTCCATTGGCTTCTCGTCCAGCCCGTCCAGCTCTTTGCCAGGCCTGTGCTTGTGATATCTGTCGAACTTTGAGTACATCAAATCCAGTACTTGGATTGAATGTTCTTATTTTTGCTTTGCCTGAATCTACAACATAGCGAATACCAGGAATTGTGACTGAAGCTTCTGCAATGTTGGTGCTAAATATTACTCTACGTTCCTTGAGAGGAGGAGCTTGGAAAACATCCATTTGTAAATGCTGAGGTAATGATGCATACAAGGGGCATATTTTCATTGCTAGGCAGTTTTGCGAATCCATTCTCTTGACAATTTTGCTCATTGCCAGACAAGCATTATCTATTTCTTCTTGCCCTGTCAAAAATACCAGAATGCCATCAGACACAGGAGCTTCCTGGTGTATTTGTACAACTGTGCTGAGGCATGATAGTACATAGTCATCTTGCTTTTCATTAGTGAAGTTAATGTCAAGTTTATGTTCACGGCCCTCTGCCATAAGAACAGGGCAGTCATTGAAGTAGGAACTAAATTTTTCTGCATTCATGGTTGCAGACATGATCAATATGTGCAGTGGTTCTTTCCCTTTTTCTTTACGTATCCTCTGTGCTTTCTTCACAATACCAAAAAGGATATCTGTGTTGATAGTTCTCTCATGGGCCTCATCTAGAACAACCCATGAGTAACGTTTCAAAAGTGGATCAAGCATGGCTTCACGAAGGACCATACCATCAGTGGCAAACTTTATTCTGGTTTTATCAGAAACCATTTCTTCAAATCGTACAGAATATCCTACCAAACCTCCGAGGTTACAGCCTACCTCTTCAGCAACTCGGGTGGCCACACTGATAGCAGCAACTCTTCGGGGTTGTGTTATAACCACACTGCCGTTCTTTAAAAGAGCTTCTTCATGCAGGAACTGTGGCACCTGGGTGGTTTTTCCACTCCCAGTTTCTCCAATAAGGATATTAGTTTCATTTTTTCTTAGATAATTCACAAGATCCTTTTTCACTTCATAGATTGGCAAACCTTTTCTTTGTTTCATTAGCTCCTTGGACTTATCACTTAATGTTTTTAAAGACTTTCCATTGTTCGTATATGTTCCATTAATACATGTGTTCCCACTTTGAGTCAGCTTTTTCAATGATATATTGCTTGTTGGTAATACCACTCCATTCAGCTGATTGACAGAATAGGCATTTTTTAAAGGGTTTGAAGAAGGTAATTGCTTAGGAATCAATCCATTGTTGTCAGCCCTGAACTTCTTGAATGGCGGTCCACCTTGAAGAGCCATTCTGAAAATACAATAAGTTAATACCTTATAAATGGATTGACAATGCTTGTATATTAGGCTAAGAAAGTTCAGTATTTACTTCTCTTCTCAAAGCCAGTACCGGTATTCCAAAGCATCTAATTGATATATCCATATTTTGTTAATTCAACCATACCTAGTGTGGAAAGATCTAGGTACTTTCCAAGCTGTGACTGTAATTTGAAAGGCAAGTTATTGAATTTGCAATTATGATTCCAGATTTTGAGCCGAGAATGTATTTTCTGAACTGTGAAAAATAAAATCAAAAACATAATGAGTTTTGCCTCATATCACAAATTTTACTCTTTAAGTAGAAACAACAAATTTTGTTCTAAGTTAGAAGCAACATAGCATTTTACAGTGAAATCTTTTTATTTCATCAGAGATAATATATATGTTGCAGTTTCATTGCTGTCTGACGGGACGCTGACTGAAACCATTAAGCAAAATATTTTGCAAACAAAGGATTTGAGAGGGATGTCTCAAAGGCTCAAGCATGATGGCATCTATGAGACAAGTAAAGCAAAAAATTTTGTGTGTGGAAATTTTTGCAGAAGAAAGGAACTAAACTGCAAGACATAACAGTTAGTTTGAATGATTCATTAGTGAACCAATCAATTTTCCATCAAACCAGAATAAACAACTTTGGAACTAACAACAACATTTCTGATTCATTGAAAGGAGAATGGCTTTGGAGCCAAAGATTTAAAAAAAAACTGCATCATTCTACTTGAAAGAAATTTGTTAAAATTTGCATCAATCAATATCAATCTGTCTATCTGGAATGTTGGGTAGAATTTTCCTATATTTATATTTAGTTACTTAGTTATTTCAGGTAACTTGATTAAATTAAATTAAATTGTTATGCTTCTAGTTTTTCATTTGCATAACCTGAATTATAATTATAAAGAAAAATTTTGTGTACTGACCGCATTTAATAAATTCTTCAAGTGCAATTTAAACCTTCAACAGGCAAAATTTGTAAAAAATACACACGAATAAATATTTTGTATATTATGTAGGTATAATAGGAACTTCTTACTTTCTTGAAATGGTTTCTGAAATCGATATGGTTGGGTATACTTGGAAGAGCAGCAAAAGTGAGAGCGTGTAAGTATGAAGTATTGAGGGAAGTGTGGAAGAGTGTAGCAGTGCCTAGTATTATGTATGGATTGGATATGATAGCATATATTGATGGTGAGCTGGATAAATCAGAATTAGTACAGAATAGAGTGGCGAGATTGGCCCTAGGAGCCCCCAGGTGGACTGCGGTAGAGGCCCTGAGAGGAGACAGGGGTTGGAGTACCTCTAAGGAAAGGAGAATGGGAGCAGTTTTGAGGTATAAAGTGAGACTGGAGCAAATGGACGATGAAGGACGAACGCTGGGCATGAAAGATGCATATGTGGAACATGAAGGTGGGCAAATGGGGACATAGATGTTGTGCATAAGTGTGGTATATCATTATATGCATGAAGCATGGGTGCGCCAAAGGCCCGCTGGGCCAAAGGATGAATAGGTGGTGACAGTACGGGGAGCAATTGGGATAAAGTGGGATGAAAAAGAGTGGAAAAGAGAAATAAATTTAGCAAGTGAATGACTATGGGCTGAAGGTGTGGAAGCAAGGAATGGAGGGAAAGGACACTCTAAGACTGTATCAGATGAAAGCGATGCCAAAATATGAATGCCGTCAACCGGGGCTACTTGGGACGGTTTTGAGCGTTTTTTTGTTAATAACTTCATACCACGAATAACGGGTCTACTCGGGACACTTAGAATAAAACTTCATTTTAAAATATTTGAAGCATGCAGAGTGTACTCATCCATTACTAACAGTACTCTGAAGTCCTCCTCTTTCATTGTAGATGATGTAGAGGTAAAATAATGACATTTTCTGTGATTTTTACTCGTTTTTCCTTTATTGATATGATATTACCATAAACATTAATTACCGTCAACTGGGGTGACTTTGGCCACATTTTTTATTTTGTTTTGCAAACAAAAACGGGGTCGTAAACAGGATGGCTTGTAATTTCACACCATTTTAATTGGGTTAAGTGAATTTACTATAAAAATATATACCTAACTCAGTAAGTACTCACTGCAGTGAGTGAGAGAGCGCATTTTCTTGTCAACAAAAACTTGATGTCATGGATGGACGGACAGACAAACGGACATGGCGAGCACAATAGTGCATTTTTTCCATAAATGAGAAAATGCGCTAAAAAGCTCGAGAAAAACATACCTGAAACAGAAAAGAATGTTTTAGTGACAACCATCATATGTTTTGGAGAAATTAATCATAGTTTAGGTCAATTACTTTTCATTCTATGATGCCTGGTGCACAATTCTAAATAAGACATTCTATGCACAATTTTGTGATGACCAATGATGCACTAATTTTTTGATAAGTGAACTTTTTTCACTCAGCGAGGTAAATGTGATCAATATTCTTTGTTTTTAATCAATTTTTTTCTTAACTGGATCCTTTGCTAACTGAGGTTCTACTGTAAATGTGCTTTTGGGTGTGTCCCGAATAGCCCCGCCTGCCCCGGGGGGTTGTCCCAAGTAGCCCCGCCATGCAGAAATGACCGCCTTTTTTTTTTTTTTGGAATGAGATAGGCAAAATCTGTCAATTACATTTTCAAGCTGACACCTGGGTGCAACTTTAATGTAAGTAAAATTTTACAGTCATTTAATATTAAGTGTTCTCCCTCAGTCTCAGTGGTCAGTGCACACTGTGCACTGTTAGGGTAAACGCGGTATATTCCGACACTTTAAGGACGCATCGAGAAATGAAAAACTATAAAAAAAACGTATGCGTTACGTAAGTTCTGTTGCCTTCACATGACTCTCAAAACACTTCATTGGAAGTGATGGAACTAAAACAAAGCTTAATATAAAGGAAAAACTAGAGAAGTGACGGAATTACCTACGATGTCGGAATATACCGCGTTTACCCTCCTAACCTGTTTTGGCAAAAAGAAAAGTACCTATTAAAGAATAGACTCCACAGTCCACTAATCTTTATACTAATAAAAGTTTAGAGTTTTCAAACCAGATAAAATAGTGATTTGTGTATGCTATCTGAATAGTGGCAAAGCAGAGAGTTTCTTAGACTCTTTAAGAGTTTAAGTTTCAAGTTAAATTTTAAGTCCTATAGTACTAGTATAAGTAGAAAAGTAGACCAGCATTGACTGCATTGTATCATGCGTTCAGCCGGTTCAGGCTACTGCTATCACTAAACTCATATCGTATTTGGAACCCACCACGCACTTTGCTAGGATTAGCTACGAGCCTACGACGTATCACCATGATTGGTGAACAGGTCTCTAATAAGTAATAAGGCCTTCAAGTGTTCAACACCTCAACCCTTCAAAGTCAAAATGTATTCTGCACTTGGTGTCTGCCACAGTCTGACTAGACTAGTCACCTGACATATTTTATAGGTAGTCATCGTTTTATCTTGTTAGTTAATAAATATACGGACATGCATTCGTTAAATTGAAACCTAGAGAAAATATGAGTATGCTAGTCATATTTGTACCTTTAACACCAGAATGTCGTTTATACCAAATAGATGAGGAGAGTCCCGGAGACGTAACCGCACCCCACGTGCCACTGAAAAACGCGCAACGTTGATGCTGGAACACACCTGAGCCTGAGGCAGAGTGAGGCTGAGCTATTTTTTTTTTTTAGATACGTAAAGATTTGAAGTTGCTCCTTTTTGAGAGCTGCGCCTCTGTCTTATATAGACAGAGTAAGCTCTACTTCTTCGTTGGAATTTCAAAGTAGCCAGGTTGGGAAATTTTCCCAACACAAAACGTTCGTATCCAATACTCACATGTGAAGGCAAGGTGCTGCTTTGAAAGGTAACCTTGAACATAGAGGTCATGATGGGCTCTCGTCCTTTGAAAATTCTATCAGCAGTAGCTCCCTGAAATCCTTCGGAGGCCAGGGCTTGTGAAAGTTCTTCATTGGTGACTCCTTTGCCAAAGGGACCAATAACTCCCACAGAAGTTGTTTGGTTTGCCGGAAGTCTACATTTGACTTTCCACGGCCCCAGGCTCTCTATTTCTAAAAGGGATGAGATATTATCTGAAGATTTCATGGCAATAACTAGTAAATTTCGAGCAGTATTCTTCGTCATGCTTGCAATGCCGGTCTTCCCAAATAGAGAGTTGGCCAAGGCTTTACTGCCCCTAGCATCCCACAGCGGAGAATAGGCATTAAAATCTCCAACAGCCACAAAACTGTCACCAAGTTGAGATTGATAAGTTAATTTCATCTTGGGCTATATTATTACCTGGATTATAAAAATTGCCAATAGCAATCCAACCTAGAGCTGTATTGACCTTCAAAGACTGGAATTCAAGATTAGAACCTCCTGGAAATACAGGCATATCAAACTGTTGTCGCTGAATGTCTCTCCGAAATAAAATTGCCATGCGACCTCTGAAAGCATTTTCCCGATGTGACCACATTCCAGAATAACTAACAAAAGAGGGCTCATGGACTCCTAGCAAAGTCTCACAGAGGCATACAACATCTGGCTTTTCACTATATAGATAAAGCTTTATTTCTGTCAGTTTTCCACGCAGGCCATGACAGTTTAGTTGCACAATCTCCAAGCCTAGCTCTCTTCTAGGAGGACGGTTCAAATGCTGAGACTTCAGAAGGTAACTCATTGAGATTGTTCTCTACCACTTGCAGTCTTACCCTTGCCTCGCCCCTTAGAACGTCCACCTTGTTTAGAAAGCACACGGTTCAACTGCAAAGATGCTGATCCTACCAGGGGCAATAGACTCCTAGTCTGTTCAGTACCTGCCACTTTCTTTGTTTTCACAATGGTTGGGACACAGTCTTCTGAGGGCTTTCCTGGGGTATGGCCCTGTCCAGAGGCAACTCCGCTGGCTGGCAGCCACTCTTCCTGTAGCGCCTCACTGACATCTGGCCCAAAAGCATTCCTCAGTAAACTAATAAGTAGCAGAGATCTCTCCTTTGCACCCTCACTCAGTAAATTCATATTAAACACTTCATTCATGAATTGACCCAATTTGATAGAGAATCCAGTAAGTGATGCATGAATAATATCATCCACTCGTTTCTCGCTAGAAGCAAGCTCTTCCCTCATGATCCCTCTCAATTNTTATGCTGCAGTATCTTGCAAGAGCCCAACAGCTACCAAACTCCCCCTCCTGCCTGAGCATTACTCAGCAATGGCCCACGACCTGTCTCTTATACACATCTAAACAAACAAACAAACAAACAAAAAATAATAATAATAATAATAATAAAAAAAATAAAAATAAAAAATAAAAAAAATAAATAAAATAGCAAGACAAAAACTAAATAAAGTAGAAGAGCAAGAAAAGAAAAAATAAATAAACAAAATAAAAATAAAATAAAGAAAAAATAAAAATAACAAGGCGGACCGGCAAACCTCTGAGGGAGAAAGCCAGTCGGGTTAAAGTTAATGAGTAAACAAATCAAATAATTAAGGTTTTGAATACTTATAACTTATAAGAAACTTTGAGTCACAAATTTACCGGTTACTTTAGACGTTTAGAGATCGCAATTCACACACGTGCTACCACGGCAAACGCAACTGACTTTCTCCCGAGGCTGAGCTAGTTGGCAATCACGACGATCCAACATCCGCATTTGTCTCTCCAATTGTTGAAATTAGAAAAAGTTTCCAATTCGTGAAAAATGTTGTTGCATATATAATTGCAAATATTTCTTAAAATATTTTCGTTGGAACTTTAGCCCTTTCCTGTGTTTCATATCTACCAGCTTACATTTTTTTATTTCAATTTAAGTTTTAATCCAAAAGCGGTTAGAAACTAGAAGCACGTTGTTAGGCAGTACGCAATTGATATGGAGCACCTGCCAAGCAAAAGATATTCTCAATCAAATTGCATTGTTGGTGTATAAGGCATACTACGAATATCATAAATGGGCACACAAGTTGGTCTGTATTCACAATTTCTCAGGCGCTTTGTTCTTTCATACAAACATGCATTCAAAATATTCATAATATAATATATAGGTGTCGGCGTTGGTAAGGCCGTTAGACCTGTCGCTGATACTGAACATCGCAGAATTTTCACGGCTTGTTGCGTGTTTCGAACACGAAACACGAACTGTGTTGCGTGTTCGTAATATTAATGTACTTAGCCGTCCGGCCGCCTCGCCGATTTTACAAGAACTGACGCAGGTAGCTGGGATAGAACCCTCGCCTCTCTGCTCCAATCTTGGTACTGTAACCACTGGGCCACCCTGCATAATATAAATACAAAGAAAAACTTTGCACAGTATTAACGCTATCTTCTAACCTTCTCAGTATTAACTTCTCTGAGCTTTTAACTTTTACATGAGCAGATAAATAGAGCAATCACTCTCAATTAAGTAGAATGATCTGATCACTCAATGGTACCAATATTCTTACCTGTTTACGCTGCGTTAGAAATAATCCCACGAGTTCAGTTCAGCTCACTCGTAGCATCAATTAATTCTAAAAGCCTTTTAATTAAATCTATTTTTTTCTTCAATCGCTCAGTTTTTGAGTTCTTGGAAGCTGTTAGAGGTCAATAGTTCAAAGCCATTTAGAGGACACGAAAAAATTTATTGTTGCTTTACTCGAATGGATTATTTATAATCTACTAGAACACGATCTAACATCACGAAACAATACTTCATAAATTAAGTAAATCAATAATTAATCTGAACTCTATTCAACGCGTAGTTAGCTAAATGAGAGACATAATCGAATAATAATTTCATTTTGAACACTCTTCATTAAATCATGGACTTGAACGCGTGCAAATTATGTATAACAGCCGTGGGTAGGTGTTCCGAAATGTTCGATGCAGTGCCAGCCATGATGAACGTGTAGCGTTATGCTGTGTGTTGATCTTGAGAGTCTTTGGCAATCCTTGGCGTTCTCTTAGGCTACGATATTGGATGTCAGCCATTTAAGTGCTATGGTGCAACACCTCTTCTCAAGCTTCTCTGTAGTGTGAATTGCGAAATTTTAAAATAGACAATGCTCAAAGCTCGAAATAAAATCTCTTGGTAATGAGACATTTTTGGTATGAATCAGTAATTACTCATCAACGTAATACGAGGACATTAAGTTACTGAATCAATCGTCACTATAAGCGTTTGTGAATAAGCAATTAACTTCACAAGAAAAATAATCCTTTTTTACATGAAACTTGTACGCAATTTAGGTACACAATTTTAACGATGCACGAACGGCGCTAGTGTACAAGTTAAGCACATCCAGTTTGCTCTCAGCTAATGTGTTGGTCCAATAACTGTGAGTCAACGAGTGATAGAGTTACGCTGTTGAAGTGTCTTCAAATATCAAGTTCGAGAGATGAAAGTAGGATTCTTTTAGATGTCAAGATATGTCAAATTTAGAAGCTTGATCTGCCTAAATATACAATTTTACGATATGACTGATCTGAAGAAAAAACGAATCAACAACCTTGGATGGTAGAATAGAAATTCACGTGTGTGCAACGCTTTTCAGTGAGAAAGTCACCACGAGGGCACAGATGTGGGCTATTTGCTTCATTATCTCACATTTTAATGTTTGTCTGCGCAGGTATAGTCTATTGGCAAATGCACTCAAATCCAGTAAAGCTTCAACATTGTCGATAGCGACCGCCGTAATCGTTGAAAACGAGTACGTCTTTGTTGTCAGTGCTCAATTTATTCCATGTTTATTAGATTCTGAGACCTTTTAATCACAGAACTTTGAGAAGAAGACTTCGAACTTGGAGGGGCACATGTTGGATCGATTAAAGTTCCAGGATCTGGCTCGCCGCTAGAAAGGTTTATTCAGCAGCGGTACTCTAGTGTTGGAACCCAGTAAAAAGGAACCCTACTCACGAATAATTTGCATACGCATTACATATAATTTGACACACAAAAGTAAGGCAAACGGTCCTTCACAAGCCCAATAGTCTGGGCATAAATACCCCTGCCCCGAATCAGCTCAGAGTCGGAGTTGGTTTCGGGTATGACTATATTGGCTCCATAGTTCCGGTCGTAACTTCAATCGTAAAACTTTCCAAATGTCAACTGTTTCACACTGGCTGCAGCATTTTAGATCAACACATGGTCCACAGACCGATCATTCGGCACACTCCCTGAACCTGTATATACAACTAATACAAGGCATGCTTGATCAATATTGCCGTACGTCCGCACATAAAACTCGTTGCAGCAGCAGCAGCAAGTACCGCGTTGTCAACGTTGTTTATGCATCTCCATTGCGTTCACCAGGGAGCTGAGTAAACGGATGCGGTGCCCAGTATACTGCACGCCATCGCTGTCGTGCCACCTGCCATCTTGCGCTGATGGTCTCGGTAAACACAACCAAGGATTGAGCATCAGGTTGCTTTAAACAGAGCGCTGCAGTTGCTCGTAATTGCGGGCATATCTACTCGCGTCGGTCAGGCGTAGTCTCTGCCATAGCTCGCTGGCAGATCAGAACCGTGGTTTCAGCCCACCCAGAAACTGAATTTTTTCATTTTTTTCACAAGCGTTATCAAATAGTTCATGTAAATGACTGGATCACGTAAGGTATAGAAATCTGTAATATTAATGGAAATCTTATGAATTTTGGAATCATATTGAAACCATTGAATATTATAGCATTGCTTCCAGTAAGCATAT